ACACACACACACACACACACACACACACACACACACACACACACACAGACAGACAGCATAGTGCACAAACACTCACTAGTCATCTTGTATCGTACTGAATGCATGAATACATTTATTTATCTTCATTACTGGGTGTGTAAATGCACTTTAAATTGGGCAAAAATAAGTGTCTGTTGTTTGACACTCAATATCTCTGCTTGATGTTCTCAATTGCAACTCAGCGCCAGTGCACCCTGGTGTCATTGTCCTCCAAAAGAAAAACCATTTGCCCACTCAGCCTCTAAGCCCATGTGCCACCGTTGTCTTAGTTTCTATGGAGACACTTTCCTCCAGACCAAGCATGTGGAGGGCACCCCTCCAGTGGAAGGAGGTGGAATAGCATTGTGGTAAGGCAGTCATACAGAAACCTCATTTCCAAACATGAACCATGGACTGTAACATACAGTGTTTGTTCTCTAAACATTTCACTGTAGTTGATTAAACCCAACTTGAAGTGGAAGACATACTTGCATGTACGATTTCGTTAGTAGTACAAATAATATAAAGGTTTAGTTGGATCTAAAATTATATGAAGGCAAAGTTAATCGGAGAAAAAGACAGGAGACGCCACAGCCAACTGTAGTTTTTGAAATGTAAAAAACACTACATATATATGTACTATTGACATGGACCATGCAGTAAAAGTCTGGGACTGACGTGATCATTTGCCAGGAAACTCCAGATGGGGGCACTGTCTGTCAGTCTTTCTCTGGTATTTCCTTACCTATTCAGGAGACTCTCTGCTGTCAGATGGAACTGAGTGTTTCTGACCTTGAAGACGATGACAGACAGTCACTGTGGGGGCAACTGTACTCAGCATTTAAATACACAAATCACACAGCTTTGACGAGACTCTAGCCGCAGTGGACTAGAGGCAAGGACATGAACAATGTGGGAAAGAAGCAAAGTAATGTTTTTTTCATAATTGTTCTAACTTAATTAAAACTGCTTTCATTTCCTAACTACTTTCTTTAATACTGGCATGGTTAAATAAAACTAAACAGAGCCTTGCTAAAACAGGATCATTTTCTGGCCTTTTTAAATACTTCTTTGATCAAATGACTTCCAATTAATATTCTGAATAATAATAATAATAATAATAATAATAATAATAATAATAATAATAGAAGCAAAAAAGAAATTGTGGCGGTAACTGACTGCTACACAGTCTTATTGATTGCTGTATATAATGAACCACAAAACAGCATAGCTCACCCTGGTAAAAAATGACAGTAATAAAATAAGCATTTGAAATAACTGAAATAGTATTTTCCAAATCTTTTACTTGGTCATATAAATGCATTATCATAAAGACCAAAATACATATTTATCACACAATAATTACTTCTAATGGTGCATACATCATCTTGGCATATGAATAGTTTACAACCACATTAGCTACTCTGGACCACAGAGTAGCTAATGAACCTTGTGATGATATCAGTATACATTTCTTTGAAAAACACTGAAGGAAGTGTATTTTTTTCCCTAAAGTAAAAAATACACTTATCTTATGTTTACACAGACTGGATATGGGTACCTATAATGGACATGCAACAGCGGTAAATTGAGCAGTATTTATTTCTTATTTGTATTTTTAATAAATAATAAACAGGTTGTCATCATGAGGCAGGCTGCATAAATAAGCCTGTAGCTCATAGACAGAAAAGAGAAAGCCCACATTGTTTTATTTGGACTTTTGCTCTAATACACATTAGGATGATATATTTAGTATATTTGTCAGGCAACATTAATATACTGGTAGAAAGCAAATGAAAAAGAAATCCTAAATATACCATACATAAAGTATAAGCATATATATAGAACCTTATTTTAATGGTGACTACAATACTAATGTTAATATTACAAAAAAACCCCAAACAAACAGCATTGAGGTAGTTTGATTAAAAAAACTGCCAACCTGGAGGCAGTGTGAGCGGACTACATATTAAAAACAAAAAAAAGTTTTCCAATAATGTAAAAAGAGCAGTTAACAAGATGAACATATTGTGGAGTTCAGCGCAGTTGCTCAGCTCCTCACCAACCAATTACAACACTGTCTGTAGTAGAAAAACCTAATTAGCTTTCGAAGAAACACAGCAAAGGCAGCCTACCTCTACTGCCAAGAGAAACTACCGAAACCTCTTGCTGTTGACTTAAGCCAGACAAATTTACTGTCCTAATTGGTCTCAGTGGGCAACGCATCAAAAGTGTAAATAATTTCATCAGCAGCTGGCCTGCTCTGTCTTTTGGTATCCTGGCTTTTATTTCATAGTGAAAACTAACTTGTGCCTGCTGGAACGAAATTCTGTAATAATTCCCAGAGCACACAATTTTCACATCAGATAAAACTACTTCATGAGAGGATGACGTTCAATCACAGAGTAACTAGTCTCAGTCTGAGTGCGTGACCAGCTGTGTCTGTTGGGGGTAACAAGTTGCAGATGATGTTTCGGTTGTTGCTGCTGCATGTTCTTTTGGTTTTTGTGGTTTAAGGGAATCAGGTTAAACTTAAGGAAAAACAAAAAGCAAAAACATAGGTTAAAGCAAAGGGGATCATCCCTTCCACCAGGTAAGACTTATGAATGTTGAATTATGCAACAAATAGGTTGTATTGTATAATCATGTTTTGCTAAGCACACACACACTGCTTTCATTTGTTAAGAGGTCCACATTCAGCACACATACACAGTGACACTGATGGAGGCACATATCCAAAACTCTTAATTTGTGTTCATCATTTCAGAGCAGCTGGGAAGGAAAAGGGAAAAGCAGGGAAATTGCAGCTTGACCACAATCACAGAGGACACAGCGGTGCTATTAGTTTTCCAGTGCAATCACATAATCCGATGGCCCAGACATTTGCTTTAATCAGACACCTGGGAAATACATCCATCCCATTTCATTTCATCAGCTCAAATCAATCTCCCATCAGTATTAAATGAATACACTGAGAGCAGAAATCTGGCTGGGCAAGATATTATTACTAAAGGGAAGTCCTTCATTACAGCCTTTTATGATTGCTTGTCTTTCCTCTATAGAAAGAATCCTTTGTATATATATTGTAGATCCTGTTTGAGAGTGAACTATATCTTTGAAAGCACACATTATGGAATAAGCTGAGCCCACAATGAATCACAGTGGTATTTCTTTTTCATTCAAGCAAGCAATTTAGCAGTTTATGTCACATCAAATGTTGCATGTGGCGCTATGGATTTTTACAGTGTAATTAGCAGCTATAGCGTGAACTCTGCTGCTGTATAGCCACATGTAACAGGTAAAGCATGTGCTTTTTATTTATGTTTTTCCTTCAGCGCTTCTCTGTATGGTAGTGTGTGTGCGGATGCTGCTGGTGTCAGTGATGCTGAGCGCGCTGCACGAGGCGAGTCTTTGTCTGCTCCGGAAAGGCTGGGCTCCAGCTGGCTCCTGCTATGTCTTCGCATGCAGAAGTCAGTGGTTCCCCCAGTACCCGGAGCAGGAGGCGAGCTGTTTGATTGATTGGGATGCACACCACCAACGCCCCCTCCTCCTCCTCTTGGCTGCACTTGCTTTGGGTGCACATGTGTCTCTCCAGCTCTCCATTTTTTCTTTACACTGACCAGCTTTATCACACACGGGCGTTCGTTCAGTAGTTAACAAAGGTGCACGCACGCACACACACACACACACACACACACACACACACACACACACACACACACACACACACACACACACACACAAGAAATGGAGAAAAATAATTAAAAACGAGAAGAGAAATACTGCGTGAATTACATGACTGACTGAATTTAGATGTTGCATGATTAAGGGTAACGTTTGATGTGTATTTTGATGTATGAGCGCACATAAACATCCCAAGTGCCTCCGACATCGGGTTCATTCAGGGCAACGCATTAGCAGTCATTACAGATAACCACTTAGCCAGACCATTCTCCACACTTGGTGTTTCTCTTGCAGAGACTGTGGCATAACTCTAACGAATTCATCATTTTAGACAGAAAGAGAGAGAGAGAGAGAGAGAGAGAGAGGGCGCCTGGAATAAACATGTATTTCGAAAGATTTGATGTTTCAGGTGCTTTTCACAACGCATTCGCTCCGGACCAATAAAGTCTTAGTGGAAAGCATGGGGCTGAAAAAAGGACGAAGTAAGGGTGTGTTAGAATCACCGAAAGCTTTTCAGGACTCCAGCGACGACCAGCCAGCCAGTGTCTGGTGAACGTGCGTGTGCGTGAAAGTGCGCGCACGTGTGTGTGTGAGTGCTGTGTTAGGACCCGCAGCCAACACACACTTAACATTCGTTCGCAACATGGCGTTGAAGCGCCGAGAGACACGACGGCTCTCCCCCGACTAATGCAACCTTATTGTTAGGAAAACCAGGGAGACTGTTAACCAAAGAAATCTAAACATTCTCAGAGACTCCTTTACGCACCGGCGGAGACAATAGCGGATTCCAGCATATGAATGTCGCTATAACGGTATAGCTGTTGTATAGACTCAAGCTGCTACCCCACTGGTGGAAATCAAAGGCTGTACATGGCGGTGGAGAGTACAATTTGGCTGTTCTGTCTTCTTTCGCTGTTTTGTGGTCCATCCAAGCAAGGTAAAGCGCTCACTTAAATCTTCTTCTTTTTTTTCATTTTTTCTTGTATGGTGCATGTGTGAGCCAGCGGACCTCTCGTATTACTCTGAAGTGCAGTTACTCAGAACATAAGTAGACTGCGATAACAGATATGAGCTACTGGGTGAATCTGCACCTTGCACAGTTTGTACAATATCCCCTCCGTATTCAGTGTTCACCTCATTTGGCCTCTCTAATCCCCACGATGTAGGGGTGTTTTGTTAGGGTACTTCATTGGTATCTCTCTCAGGACGCGCTGGAAAGCTTTGGCGATGGGAAGTTGCAGCACATTGCCCAAGGAGTAGCCACAGTGTTGTTGAATGTTGCCACAGGGCGGCCAGGGGCTTTGAAGCGACCGTGGGAAGTTTGGGATCCAAACCAGGGAATCGGACTCACAATAATAACATGTGTGATGGGCTTGTGCGTTCAGAAATAGAACTATGTCCTGCAGCACACCGCTATTTCGTGTTCTGCTGCTGAGGGAGGGTTAACTTTTTCTGTTACGGTGCACTGATGTGCGCAAGGGACGTTATGGTTTTCCCCTCTGCATGGCTCAGAAAAGTTGAGGGAGAGGTTTTTGAAGACAGTGTAACATCATCAAAAGTATTCTACATATTTATAGATTGCCGTATGATCTATAGAAATCTAAAGATGGATGCATCATGATGAATATGATAGCTGTACAGCAAAAAGTTTATTTCCTAATAACTGCTGTGGCTGGTTGAAGAGGAAAATGCTAACAGTGGTGGCGATGAGCCGGTGAGAGACTGTCTGGTCACCGGATTTACATGACAAAAGACCAGCGCAGAACACGAGTGGCTCTTATAGAGTAAAATGCTTACCAGTGGTCAGGAAACAAAAAAGATAGAACATTTGATTTCCTTAAAACCTTTTATTCCAAAGCCCAACTTTCTGATTTTTGTCTGATGACTGTCTAACATGTCAGAACATTTCTGTATGAAATCACTGGGGCAACATTCAGCTCAAGAAGAGCATCATATCAGAATTTCATAATCTGTTTCCATCTTGTTCATCAGAGAGTTTGGATTATAAGATAAACATGGAGCAGAGACCTAGAAACGGAAATTCTGACAGAGGATTGGAAATCAGTGGGCACTGTAACTCCTGGTCAGACATGAGAAAGTATGTAACTCCTGCCATGTATGTATGTGCATGGCAGTGTGGACAGATTAAACATTTTGGGAGCAGGTTAGAGTGGCATGTGATTTTTTTTTTTTTAACAATTAGTCAAATCTATAAAAATGGCAAAGACAACACAGAGTGACAGGCAGACAATTGTATTTTTGCAACAGCAAAGTGATTCTGAAAGTGTTATTTGCCACAAAATTGGCATATCTCAGCATATTGTGGATGCTGTGAAAGAGAAAAAAAGGAGAAGAGGCTGAAGCATCCCAAATTACAGAAGAACTCATATGAAAATTGTTGGTAACGGGTGTTAGGGAGGAAAAAAAAAACTTTGGTTCAAGTCATCATCATGAATATGTACAGAAGAGGTCAGGAGAGAGGTGTAGCAGTAAGTGTCTACAATCATCACTGTGCAAAACACAGTGGAGACTCTGTTATGCTTTGAGGCTGCATTCAGTCTCCATGTTGGGGTCTTTTGATCCACCGTAAAGTTTCATCTGGAAAGTGGCACTAATACACAAGCTATTAATATCAGCGTAAACTTACACAAAAACTATGCCTCTTTCTTTACTTTAGTCTCATTGAACAGCTTGTGTAGTTTATCCTTTGGTGGGAGTTGCAGAAAGGTTTCCTGCTGCTGCTGTGGTATGTTATGGCCTGCAGTGATTGCTACCAACAGTGATGAGAAATAAGGCAGTTTGGTGCTTGGTGGATTGGTGTGGCAGCGAAAAGTCAAGTGTAATGGAATGCATGTATATGAGAACCATGCTTGTATCCAGGCAGACATCACTTGCCTCTGAGATACTGCAGTTTCAACACATAAGCTCCATTACTCATTCTTCAATTATGTACACGATGGCCTTAAGAAGCAGGCAACTTAGAGGTGTGCCTCCTTGACTTCCATCTGATATAGCAGTAAGAGGTCAGAGGGTACAAATGATATAGAGCTAGATTACCAAGCCTTGAAGATTCCAGAATATACAGAATAAGGAATAACTTCTGTTGAGATCTTCTTGACAAGAGAGTGAGTGCCACACTTGTGGGCAGTCACAGTGAGATGATGAAATCTTTTGCAAGTAAATACTGATTGGTGTGGAGGTTATGCATGATAAGAGTTGGGAAAAGGTTGATTTATTTGTACAGTGAGAACAGCAAAGTTTTGAGTTTGGACATTTTGGGATTAGGCAGTTCAAACATTTCAATAAAATCATACATTTGTAAGTTTTAAAAATTGCATCAAAAAAACTCACATTCAAAGAGCCATTGTGATATTTAACATTTGTCATCAAATCCCACAATTGTAATTATCAGCACTGCTGATAGCAACATGCTTTAAAAGGTTGCTTATTATGTGTTATTACCAAATAATTATACTTTTTGTCATCAAGATAAGTAAACAACTCAGACATTTTCCCCTCTGTGTGAATTTTGCTAGGTTTAGGAAGTACATTACTGTACTGTTGTGGATGATGGTGTTTATGGGACCTGAGGTTGTTCCTGAATAGAGGTTAGGGTTAATTCTGGGCCATGGATAGAATGACAGGAGCTAAAGGGGTATGTTTGAGGGCAAGGGCCATGTCTGCATGTATAAATTAATTGTTTTGTACTTTCTAAAGATCAAAGGCAAATCTGTCAGCTTCACTTAACCCATCAGAAGCAAATGAATGAAGCCAGATTGCCCATGTGTCTGTGTGTTCACAGTCATAGAATACTGCACAGTTATTAATAGACACAATTAAACAACATCCACAGTCCTGAAAGACTTTATGAGCAAATCAATCTGACTATTGTAATGCATTTACCCTTTTTTATAAGCACTTGATGAATATAAACACAGTGAAAAGGGCATAATGAAGCCTAGGCACTGACTAAGAATGACACTTGAGTTAATTTACCATTTTACAGGTCCTATTAAATGGAAATCTTTGCACTAGCAAGTTTTGTAATGCTTCTCCACTTTGTCATATGTAGTTAGACATCCTACATTAGTCCCCTGCACTTGTTACAGAGTAGCATAAGCCTTAAATAGGCAGGAAAGTATTTATTTTATTTTTTTACATGTTCTCTTCTTATATCAATCACCATTATTCTTTAAACTGCTCGTCCTGATTTTTATGGGTGAAAGCCAGTGTGCCCGCAGGACAGAAGTCAGCACACACCAAGAAAATATGTAAACACAGAGATAGACACAGTACATTCACAGTACAAACTGTATCACTGATTTGGATACATTGACCAGAAATGTTCTAAAATTTTGCTGAAGTATGCTAGAGAATTGTTTCCTAACTGCTGGACTCAAAGTCGATTGTGAGTGGCTCATGGGTTTTGGTTCAAATGAGTTCCAATATTTAAAAAAGTTGTAGGGCTTTTATTTTGAAGCACTGTTTTGTGTATATCTAGAAGACTTAAGGCTAATCAAAACAAGGTGTATTTACATCATGTACTGTATGATACCCATTAAACTACCCAGTCAGATTAATTTAATGATTTAATTTATTTTACATAATTTATGGAGCAACTTTATCATTTGAAGTTGCATCATCTGGTGAATGTAAGCCCAACTTTTAGTCTCTTTTAGTTGAGTTTTTAGTTTCCACTCGCTCAAGAAGAAAATGTTCCTCTTTGTTCACCAAACCACGTGTCTGCTGTTTGGTGCTGACAAGGTTTTTAGTGCTTTCTTGTCAAATCCAAGAATGTGCCTCAGCTGAAAACAATGCTGTGAGAGCAGTAGAAACAAAGTTAAGCAATAGAAATGTTGACTCGACAGCTAAACAATAAAGTTAAACTTGCTGTAAAGCCTGTAAATTGAAGCTGAGGGGAGCTGTAGTTTCAGCTGTTAATTCCTACTGACTGCATAGCTCCTATGACAGCTCGGCGCCCTATAATGTCAATTAATACATTTAAAAAATGATTGGTTAGAGTAATTTTTTTCAACAAACAATTTGGCCAAGCTATAGTTGTTCGGCAAACGGTCCTACATTTAACTCTATATTACTTTGGTATACAGAGACGTTTGTGGTTAACTCAATGAATGTTAGGTGCCCGCAGGTCCTGTGGCTGCAGAACAAGCTTAAATGATCACCGGCACCATGCTTGACAGATGGTATGAGGTGTTTGTGTTGATAAACTGTGCTTTGTTTTTATCAAACATAGCATTCTGCATTTGGTCTCCACTTCGGTCTCATCTGTCTAAAGAACACATTTCCAGAAGTCTTGTGTTCAGATGCAGCTTTTCAGACCTAAGCTGTCCTTTTCTTATTTTTAGAGGCAAATATTGAAAGCAACTCATACTTGTTCAGTGTTTTTCTAATTATACCATCATGAAAGTTAACATTTAACCTGATGAGGCTTGTATAGACTCTTTGTTTTATTTTGAAACAATTTGATTTTTTATTACAAATAAGTTCGATCAAAGAAGATGAAAGAGCTTGGCTTATTTATGACTCACTAAGAAATATGAACCCTGAGGTTACGGAACCACTGACCTAAAGTTTACAGTGAAAAGCTGCAGTAACTTGGCCTTCTAGTGCCAGTCTTCTCCACTTATTAGACTTTGCCAAAACTGGCAGTAATTAATGTGTGTGGTTATTTTATAGTTACCACAGCTTTCTCATCCCTGTATTAACCTAATGTTACCTTATATAGAAAGCTACAGTAGTAATGTTGACCTTACTAGTGCTCATAAAGGAGCCCCCAAAATAACCGTGTAAGGAGTCATGTAAGGAAAACTGTACAAATAAGCCAACATCTCTGATATGCTCTTGGAATACCTTTGAAGGCTCCAAGCCAGCCCACCAGCACTTCCTCATTGTAGATGTCTTATTTTTGGCTTAGTT